CGGCAGAGGGGCACAGTCCCCCCTCGCCCTGCTGGCCACGCTGCTGGGGATGCAGCCCGGGGTGCCGGGGGCTCGCTGGGCTGCCGGCGCACGTTGGTGGGTCCTGTTGAGCTTCTCATCCCCCAACACCCCCAGGGCCTTCTCCTCAGCGCCGCTCTCCAGCTGTTCCCCACCCAGCCTGGAGTTGTGCTTGGGATTGCCCCGACCCAGCTGTAGGACCTGCACTTGGCCTTGTTGAACGTCATGAGGTTGGCACGGGCCCACCTCTCCAGCCTGTCCAGGTCCCTCTGGATGCCATCCCTCCCCTCCAGCGTGTCGACCGCTCCACACAGCTTGGTGCCATCGGCAAACTGGCTGAGGGTGTGCTCGATCCCACTGTCTATGTCATCGATGAAGACATTAAACAGTACTGGTCCCAATCATCCACCCGGACCAAGGGTTAACGCAGAGAAAATCAGAGCGTTAACCCAAAGCATCACGCCATCAGAAAGCCACTGCCTCAGTTTCCCCTCCCAGCTTTTCCCCGTGGGCCATGGTGTTTGGAGGGGGAGATTTCCTTCTGCTAATGAGACGATCCTTGAATATCACAAACGAGCAGGAAGGAAAACGTAGGGGCGTGAAAAAGTAAAAATAAACCCATCTATAAATAACCCTCCTCCGGCAGCGCCGGGCGGCACAGCGCGGTGAAGCCCCTTCCAGGGATGGGCAGCTGCTTCCAGCGTGCAGGCAGGAAAATTGGGATTTCTTTAACAGCTATAAGAAATTGCTCTTTTTTTTTTTTTTCCTGGTGGAAAAAACATCCTTGAGCGACAACCTCTGGATGCCCAAAAGAAAAGGGACCTCTTCCGCACGCAGCCAGTTTGGCCCCCAGGGGATGCATGTGGGGAGGAGCAGGTGAGGAAATTTGGACATCCTGGGTTTGTACCTGTAATTGGCCCCATCAGACAGCTGGGACTGATTTTCCCCTGCTCCAAGCAAAGCCTGGCTTAAAATTATTCCTGTAAACCCACTGGGAGAACTTGAGCCCCTTCAGAAAAATCCAATTTGAAGAACGATGCTCTCATCTGCGTGGGGTCACCAGCCTCCCTCCTCCCCCAGTGCCACATCCTGGACCATTCCCGGTATCCGTGATCATTCCCAGTCCAGCTCACACCACATTGTCCTCTTCCCAGACTCATTCCCTACAAAGCCCAAGCAGCAGCTCCCAGTTGTGCTGTGGCAGAAGAGTCCCCAGGGCTGTCGCATCCCTTAGGAAAGACCTCCCTATGCCAAGAAGCAGGACCAGATAAGGAAACACACATAGGATGGAGATCTACCTGGCGAGAAATCTTTTCCCCACAGGAGATGATGGGAGATGTCCCAAGAAGCCCCCAAAAACATTCATCCAAGGATAGACCAGACAAGGACCGCAGGCAGGAGGGCAAGGGAGCATCCCTGACCGGTCGCCCCAGGAAATGTAAGGAATGCTTTGCCCTGAGAGCCCCAGAGCTGCGTCCTGGAGAAGCATCAGCAGGACAGAGCCCCACAGGAAGCCTCAAAGGGGAATAAATTGTATCTAGAAATGACCTCGGGGCAAAGGGTTGTGCACTCATGCAGTCCTGGGCTTCCCAAAAATGCCGAGACTGAGCTCTGAGACCCCTTCCAGCATCTCCCTCGGTTTTCCAGCATCCTCCTGGCCAGCCCGCCACCGACACCGGACATGAGCCGATCGCGCCCCAAAAATCCCAACAGGAGAAAACCAAACAGCTTTCCAGTTGCTACCGAAAAGCTATCGTGATGTCGATTCAGCCTTCGAAAAAGACGGATAAAAGCGGGTTGCCGGTTGCAGGAGAAAAGCAGGCAACGCTCGGAGACGTCGCGAGCACAGGTTATATTTAGGGCAATCCGACAAAGTTGTATTTTGACCTTAAAAAAAGGACCGAGCGCAGCTGGGAAGGGAAGCAAGGCAAGCAGCGCGCTTCGCAGACCTCATATTAATGCATCAAGCTACCGCAGCGCACATATTTATTTTGTCAAACTGTCAAAAATGGCACCTTTATGGTTTTATATAAAGAGGCATTAGAATAGAAAAACTTCGTAGCTTAACAAAAAAAAAAAATAAATAGAGAGAGATATATATATTGCCCAGGTTTTGATATTGAATAGGATTGAAAAGCTGAGCAAATAGGGGCTGCAAAGGGGATCGCGGAGCGGAGCGGGACGGAGAAGCCGCGTGTTCCTCTGGGTAGAGGCGGCACCGCCGCCCGGTGTAACACACGGATGGGGTTTCTGACACATCCATCAATACGTCTGTTTGCACGCTTTTCAAAAAGCTTTTGGCCCAAAGCTAGCTAATAGAAACACTGCTGAATTTTCCCAGATGACTCTTTTTTCGGTCCGAAATAAAAAGCCTATTCTTTCCAGTCCCCAGCTGGGGAGAGCCAGCCCCCGTTTGGAGTCACCCTGTCCCCGGAGGATGCAACCCCCAACCCAAATACAGACCATGAACCCACCGGGGCACGGAGCAAGCGATGGCATGAGAAGCCACAAATTTGGGGTTAAATCCTTTGCTGTTGAGCAAGAGAGGGAGCAGAGGAAAGCCCCCACTCCGGCACCCACAGAGCCACCCCAGCTGGGACTGGGGGGGACGGGAGGTGTCGCTTTCAAGGGGACATTAGGAAGGGATGATGCAATATTTCACCATTAATAGCTGTCGGAAGCGTTGCCATTTCAGCACAGGCTGTCTCGAAACGCTGCCAGGAGGCGGCTGGAAATTCAACCTCACCTTGGGGAAACTTCTCCAAGAAAAGGTAACCCGTGGCGGGATGCGAAGCGGCACCACATCAAGCCCTGCGGCTTAAATACAGGGTCTAGAGGTGAGGGAAATTACCGAATACTCAGAAATAAACATATTTCACATGACGACGGCTCCTCTGGGAAGCCGGCGGGGGATTTTGTGATTGCCCACCCATGCAAGGAGGATGCCAGGATGCTCAGTGCTGCATCTCCCACCAGGTACGTGGGTGACGGCGGGTACATGGCAATTCCTTGAGACCGGGGCAGCTCTGGAGGTGTTTGAGATGGTTTGGGAGACCCCAAATCCCAGCTCATTCCCAAACAGCTGCAAGGAGCCCTCTCCAACAGTCTCATTCCCGCACCCTGCTGCGATGTCCCCAAGCACCACCAGCTACCCAGCCAGCAGCTCTTCAAGCCCCCAGTCTCCCTCCCCCGGCCCCATCCCAAACTCACTCTGCCACAGTCCCATCCCCAATTTGGGGCGTAATAGATACAACAACTTTGTGAAAGGGAGGACACGCTCAAGGAGAATGTGACTTATCTCACCAAGGAGGTTTCCCACCTCCTCGGGAGCGAGGAGACCCCCACGGACAGGTTCTGGTCTCAACGGAGCACCAGCTCTCCTTGCAAGCACCCAGTTTTCCCACCTCTGCTGCCCTTCTGGACATTTCACAGACCATTGGACCTAACACGTCCATCCTGCTGAGCTTTCAGACACCTGAGCTGTTTTCACAGCACCAAGTTATTTACAAAACCTCATGTCTGCATGTGGCCAGTTCCTTTACGCAATTAGAAGCTTTTCCACACCGTGGCAGTGCTTGAGCGGGGTCCAGACCCTGTCACCCATCCAGGGACGTGACCAGGGCACCATGCAAAAAAAAACCAAGCCAAACCCAGAGCAGAAGCTGCCAATCCCACCAGGTTACATCCCTCCTGCTTAAAACAAACCTTTCTTGTCTCAAGCTCCACTTCTACAAGAGATGAATCTGCCTGGACGCACTTCCATGGGTTTGCTATCTGCTTTGCAGCATAAACCACAGCATAGAATAGTTTGGGTTGGAAGGTCATCTAGTCCAATGTTCAAAGGTCATCTAGTCCAACCCCCTGCCATGAGCAGGGACATCTTCACCTAGATCGGGTTGCTCAAAGCCCCATCCAACCTAACCTGGAATGTCTCATTAAAGTCCTCCTGCTTTCTTTGTTTCCGCCATTATGTTTCTTCGAGGGACACACAAGGGGGGTGGTGGATGAGCACCACCGGCTGCGGCCAACCAAGGACGGTGAGGTTGAGTCTCCTTTTGCTGGAGCCATTTCCACACCGCTTCCGCCCCAGGGCGTTCCTCATTTGCAACCAGAACAGTGGGTTTCTCCATCCCTAGACACCCCTGCCATGGGCAGGGACATTTTCACCTAGATCAGATTGCTCAGAGCCCCGTCCAACCTGACCTTCAATGTTTCCATGGATGGGGCATCCACCACCTCTCTGGCCAACCTGGGCCAGTGTCTCACCACCCTCAACATAAAAAATTTCTTCCTTTATCTAGACTAAATCTTCCCTCTTTTAGTTTAAAACCATTACCTCTTGTCGTATTGCAACAGGCCCTGCTAAAACGTCTGTCCCCATCTTTCTTGTAAGCCCCTTTAAGTACTAAAAGGCCACAATAAGGTCTCCTCCAGAGCCTTCTCTTCTCCAGGCTGAACAACCCCAACTCTCCCAGCCTGTCCTCATAGGAGAGGAATGAGTGGGCTGAAGACCACAGAGCAGACGGAGAACATCCCTTTGCTAGGGCAGGGAGGCATGGTCAGCCTTTCCTCCCAGGAACATATGACTGCAGGAAGATGTTTTGGAAAGAAAAAATGATTCTGGCTGAGCACAAGGCATCAGAGCTTACCTGGTGATGATAGCGAGGTGGGGAGGGCTCATGCAAGCTCCCATGAAGAGCACCACGTTCTCATGCCGGGTCTGCCGGTACGCCATCACCTCCCTCTTGAAGGCCTTCAGCTGGTCCTCATTGTCCCGCTCGATGTCGATGAGGCGGATGGCCACCTCCCCGTGCCAGCGCCCATGAAAGACCTGCCCGAAGCGGCCCTTGCCAATGAGCTCGCCAATCTCGAGCTGCTCGAAGGGGATGTCCCACTCCTGGAGGAAGATGCTGGTCTGGCTGGCCTTGCGGGGGAAATTGCGTGCAGAGAGGAGCGAGAGGTTCATCTCTTCAAAGTCATCCTCAGACTCCTGCACCTCCTCCATGCCTTCCTCGTTCTGTGGAGGGGTAAAGGGAGGTGAGCACAATAAAACGGGGCGGGAAAATCATAGAATGGTTTGGGTTGGAAGGGATCTTGAAGACCATCTTGTTCCACCTCCCACTGCATAGGCAGGGACACCTCCCACCGGCCCAGGTTGCTCCAAGCCCCGTCCAACCTGGCCTTGAACACCTCCAGGGATGGGGCAGCCACAGCTTCTCTGGGCAAAATCTACGGCCACGGAAAATAACGTGGATAAAACCTCACTAACCCACCTACTGCCCACTCAGAGCCAGAGAAACCGGGGAGGTACCTTCCCAGAGGCAACCAGGCGGCTGTGTTTTATGCAAAGCCAACAGAAACTCAAATTTTGCAGGGAGGCATGCATTTACCCCAGGGTTAAATAGAAAAGGGTGACACACTGGGGCATTTAATTCACTTGTCTGAAAGCAGCGTTTCATTCTCCCCCTGCCGATCTCTGCTAATACCAACTGCTCCCAACCCAGCACCCCCCATCTGCAGCCCCTCCAGTTCTCCAGGACGGGTCTGGCTTTTCCCTTGATGGTCTATATACGCTTTCTACAGGATTTACAACGCCCATTAAAAGCTGCATTCCCGTCCTCATCCTCCACCGCATTTTTAATGCGCCTCAGAAAAGCTCATTGAGTTATAAACTTGAGGTGCAGCCACGAAGCCCACCAGGCTCCTTCTTCATGGAGTGGGGGACCCGGATGCCTGGGGAGGATCCGGCCCGGCCGTTAAGTCATTTATCAGCAATTTCACCGCACAGATGCTAAACTTAGCTGGTTCCTGTGAAACGTGTCCCAAGATGGGTATAAAACAAAGACCCGCTAAGCAGAGGAGCGAGTCTGGGCGTCTCACCTCCGAGGTGGGCTCCACTTCAATTTGAAGCAACGGGTTTCCTTCCAGGCTGTTAAAAAAAATTAATGAATTACCACCGGGGTAAAAACGCAGTTGGGTGAGGAGCACGCACGGGCATCCAGTCCTGTGTCCCGCAGCAGCGCTCTGCACCGGGACTGAAGGGATCGGGGAGGAGAAGTACCAGGCTCGCTGCTGATTTGGGAGAGCAACCCCTTCCCACCCACGCCCTGGTGGCCTCCATCCTTGAGGATGGCCCTGGGTGCTCACAGGGGAGCGGGGAGGATAGCAAGGATGAGCGATATTAATTAATGCATTGATTAACATCGGATGCGTGAAGTTCCAGGATGGATTTGGTGATGTGGGGGAGCACACGACCAGGTCTCCAGCCCATCGCCCAAAGCACACGGTGTGGAGGGTGCCCCATCGCCCCATGAGGTGTCACCCCCGGGGTGAGGGACAGATTGACACCCTCGTGGCTTTTGGCCACATCGAGGCAGCGCTGGGACATGCTCTCATGGCATTTTTAGGTGGTTTCTAAGATCAGAATTACCTTCCCAATGAACACCAGCCAAAGCAACAAGCGCGGCTGATGAGCGGCCAGAAGAGAAGACACCGTGTTTTTCGATTATTTTTGAGAAGCGGAGGTTTCGAGGACCCTCCCCTGCAGTAAAAGCACCCGAATTTGTCTAGTTTCCCAGCTCCCTGCACCAGGAGCTCCTCTTTTTCTTCTCCGCTTACACAGCACCTCCCACCACCAGGTCCACCACCAGTGTCTGGCCGCACCCGACAATTAACAGAGAATTAGGGAAATTCCCTGGGGAAGATCAGCTGGAGCAGCTCAGGGTGGTTTTGAGCATAAAGTAAATACATTATAAATTATTGTTATTATTAACAGTAACTTAAATAACAGCATCCCCTGCCAGAGACAGCAAGGACCACAGGAGAGGCATAACCCCCCCCCCCCAAAACCACTTGGACGTGGGGGTCCTGTGCTTCCTATCCCATTCAATCGCCGCTAAAACCCTATAAATCCCAGGGGAGACGCAGGTGGATATATAAAAGGAGCCGACCCCGATATTTGGAGCGGCACGGAAAGCCCAGGAGGATGCAGGCGGCTTCTGCCGCCCATCACGACGCGCGGGCACTTTGCAGGAGCAGCGCTCTCCTCCCGCCTGATCTTTAACCCAGGCACGAATCCCTGTCTCCCGAGGAGCCGAAGCGGAGCCCGCGCTTTAACCCAGCCGAGCCCGGGGTAACCTCAGCGGCTCTTATTTGCAGCGGGGCCAGCAAGAGGAGAATCACGGATTTTGCATATTGAAAGCTGTTTTCCCACAAAAAGCCTGCCGGCCCTACCCCCGATACCTTGCTTTAGGCAGGGAAGGGGAAAAAAAAAAATAATAAAAGGCTTTTCCACCACTTTTCCATTAATTTCCCAGCTGCCAGCCACTGGCGGGGACAGCGGCTCCGTCCCCATCCCTCCCATCGCCTCCCCCAGCGGCGCGATCCGCCAGACCCCCCCGGCAGTTGCCGATGCAGTTTGGAGAGCGTGGGTGAGCCCGACACAAACCTGGAGCGAGACCCTATCTGTTAAACTCCCGGCTTGTAAAATCCTTCAAAACTGGCATTTATCAAAAGGATCGGTAAGACACATAACGCCGCTGCCGGGGCGGCGCAGGCACGAGGACCTCGGCGAACGCTGGATTCGGCAGAGCAGCTCAGACTCGACCTGTCCTAACGCCAATTATATACCGCCTTTCCAAACTAACTTCAGCGCAAACTTTATCGGCCGTGAAAACATTACAGGTGGGGCTGCAGGACCCACTTTTGTTAAAACCATCTCAAAGACCCCGGTTCTCCGCTCGTAATTTAGTAAAAGATTAATCGCTCGGGCTTTGGCTTCTCAGACTGAAAGTCATTTATTTTTTTTTTTTTTCTAGGCAGGTGCGTCGCTGTGGGTTATAAATCAATCCGCTGTCCTCTCCTTTCAACCTTTGTCCTCTCCGAGATATAAGCCAGAGCCACGAGGTGGGTTAGGGCAGCAGGAGAACCAGGGGGTCACCCCGACCACCCACCCCAACCTGCCCAGAAGGTACCCCTGAATCCCAAACTGGTCCTCCTGGAGGAGGTAGGGCTCAGAGGATGCGCTGCCCGGGGAGGGGAAGGTGAAGATAGCCGGGAGGAGGGGAGAGGACTCACATGGGGTTGGAGTTGACAGGGTGGAGGATCACCTGCGGGGCTCGGGTCGGCGTCTCGGGTACCACGTCTGGGGAGAAGAGAGAGGAGTGAGAGCGGGTTGGGAGCCACTGGGAGCCCCTTCCCGCGCCGGGGGCACCCAGGGAACTAAATCCCACTGAATATCACAGAATCACAGAATGGTCAGGGTTGGAAGGGGCCTCTGGAGGTCATCTAGTCCAACCCCCCCGCCAGAGCAGGGGCACCTACAACAGGTTGCACAGGACAGCGTCCAGGGGGGTTTGGAATGGGTCCAGAGTGGGAGACTCCCCCACCTCTCTGGGCAGCCTGTGCCACTGCTCCACTGCCCTCAAGGTAAAGAAGTTCCTCCTCATGTTAAGATGGAACTTCCTATGTTCAAGTTTATGCCCATTACCCCTCGTCCTATCACTGGGCGCCACTGGAAAAAGACTGCTCCCATCCCCCTGGCATCCTCCCATTAAGTATTTGTAAGTATCTCCCCCTTTTGTCCCCAGGGCCAATTTAGTGACACCTGTGGCTATCGCTGGGTATGACTTCGGGCCAACCAGCCCTGCAGCGTCTTAGCAGTGCAGAGTGCTGCAACAATATACTGGTTTTGGGGAGAAATCCCACCCCAGCACAACAAACCCCCCATCAATCCAGGGGTTAGGAGATCCGGCCGTGCGCCCCCTCCCCTAAGGGCTATCTCAGCCCACCGCGTTACTGGAGAGACTTTCAAGGAGACTTACCGGGGAAAATGAACTGCTGCTTGTACTTGTAGTAGTGGGAAGCTGGAAAAGAGAAAAGGGGGGTTAAACACTGACCTGCCGAGCCAGACGCTGGAGAAACCCCAACCTGCGCCCAGTCTGGGTCTCCCCCCTGCATGACCCAACCTCTCCCACTCCCGTCTCTCCAGAAGATGCCACCCACGATGGTACGTAGGGTGCCCAGGCCAAAAAAACCCTAAGACCTTAGCCCTTTAATGATCTGGCTGGGTTAGAACTTATTTTTTTCCCCATCAGCTACTGCTCTGTACCATTTGGAGAGCATTGATGTCATCTGCAAAGCCACCAGTGGGATTTGGATACCTGGTTGACACCAAAAGCCTGTGGGGCTTCAGTGCCCGGCTCCCATCCGGCCTTTGGGAACCACTCAGCATCACAGAGACACCAAGCGATGGATTTGCAGCTGCTGCCCATTTTTGCTCGATTCAGCCCATCTAACTGCACATTTTTGCCATGGTTTGGAGACGTGTTCTCCCTAAGCTCCCTGCCTGCCTCCCAGCGCACTGAAAGGAGACGCCGGCGGCTCTTGGCAGCCCCAGGAGCTGTTGCCCAAAGCCAAGTGCTGCAGAAGGGCTCTGGGTGGTGGAACCCTCCATCGGCTCCCTGTCACCAGCAGGCAAAGCCCAAGGGCTGATTTGACTCACGTGGGCAGGCAGGTCATGGGTATGAAGCAAGACAGAGCTGCTGATGCCACCACGGCTTGGCACCAGCTCAGAGGGCACCTTCTCCTTAAGCTTCAAGACCCCAAAGACCGCCCCTCAGCTTCAACTCTCCAGCTTCGAGACCCCGAAGACCGACCTCAGCTCTGCAGCGGGACCTGAGGACCCCTGAGTCGAGATCAAAGGAGACTCAAAGGTAATTCTGGCAGAAAAAGGTCACCGTGTTGCAATTTCCAAGCTCGAATCCTAATCCCCAAGATGACCATCTTGATGAGATGAACCACGGAGAACTTCCAGCGCGGGAAGATGAAAGGACAGTAAGTCCCGCTTTGTGTCAGACCGGCTCCCTTTCACCACAGGGCTCTGCTCATCACGGACATGAAAGCAGGGACCAACCACAACCCCCCCGCCCCGAGCTCCCAGGGTCTGATTCTGCTCCACTCCATCCCTGCCAGCCGGGCAAGTGTGCCAGGGGCTCCCCGTGCTGGTTCAGCGGCAGCGACATCATGTCCAGGTCCCCATCAGAAGACGCTGCTGCCCACTCTGGGGGTTGCTTCTGTGGTTTCTGCTTTAGACAACATGAAATAACATCTCAAAAGACCTGCAGGGAGGTCTCTGCTCCAGCAGTGATAAATGATGGGGTCACCAAACGCTGGATCCTCTGTCCCTTCCCCCCCAGACCCAGGCAGGGTCCAGGGCTTGCCCAGCAAGTAGTTTGGGGATGTTAATCGCCGCGAGCCCGGCTGTCACGCTGCCGAGACGTCAGGATGCTGCTTCAGCTCTGGCTGGACCACCATGAACCGGGTTATACGGGCATGGAAACCCACGCTGTGGACCACCCTCCCAGCACTCGGAGGCTCGAGGGCTGTGGCTGGTGAAACCCCGACCTGGGGAAGAGCAGAGGGAGCTGAGCCCCTCCTTGACGGGTGGGTCATGGTGCTCGTTGGGGTGCTCAGTGCTTCCTCGCAGCTCCTCCGCTGTCTTCCTCACACCTCTCCAGCATCCCACCCGAGTCCCGGGCACTCCAGCGAGCGAGACTTGTGCACGGCCACAGCCTCTCCAGGCACAGGACAACCCGTGTTGTTTGGTTGGCGGTTGGGTTGTTTTCCCAGCTTTTGGAAGTGTTTGTTATTGTGACGATGGATCCTGTCAGTCAAATCCCTCTCACCTCCTTCCTCCTCCTCCTCCTCCTCTCTAGCTGAAGGCTTGTCAAGACAGAAGGGAGGAATCACCACAGCGCAGCAGGATCAGCAGAGCACGAAGATGCTGTCTGGTTCCTCTGGAGAAGCAGTCCTGAACCTCTCTCTCTCTCTCCTACCGGAGCAGTTTGTTAACCATTCGTTTGGGATGCGGGAGGGACCCCAACCTCCCCGCTGCTGCCCCATCAAAGAGGCTCAAGGCCGCAGACCAAACAAGGCCACCGGCCCTGGGGCAGCTGTGACTGCTTCAGCATCTCAGAGATGGGTCAGGACCACAGCTCCCCCTCCTCTCCCCTCACCAGGTCGTTTTTGGGAGCAGCTGAAGAGGCAGGCAGATGGCCGAGGACAGTTGAGCCCCTCCACACCGCCAGGAGTGATGCTGAGCTGTTCCCCTCCAGGAAGGGACCTTCCCTGGTGCCGCAGCACTGCCTCAAGGACAGCCCAAAGGCAGTCGCGCTGGGACAGGCTTCAGCACGTCCTCAGGTTAGGAGAAGCTTTTGTGGCCATTTAATGTAACTCCTGGGCCCTGCAGCCACCATGACCAAACAGCCCTTCCACCACCTCTGAAAAGACTGAGCTCCTGGAGCAGATAGGTCCCGGGTACCCAGACAAGACCCAGCTGGACAAGCTATGTCAGATACCCCCAGCATCAGCTGCTCCCCGCTATCACCCCACGCGCGCTACCAACAAGCTTGTCGGAGACCCGTCACCCCAAAGACACAGCGAAGTCAACCCAAGTGACACCTGTAGAGGGGTAAGACCTCGTTTCCCATTTGCTGTTGGGGCAATGCAGCGGGCACATGCCACGGAGGAGTCATGCCTGGAAAGCTTTTTTAGCCTCAAGCGCAGCAGCAGGTTGCCCACAGAGGTTCCGTTGGCTCCATCCTGGGAGGTTTTCAAGCCCATACTGAATCAAGCCTTGAGCTCTGATCCTGCTTCAAGCAGGAGGTTTGACTAGATACTCCCAAGCTCCCTCCCAACCTGAATTATCCTAAACTCGTCTATGCTGCTCATTTCTGCTCCCAACTTTTCCCCATCCCAGTATAAGTCCAGGCAAGGCAAGCAGCTGGAGTAGATCCTTACCCTGAGGAGACCCCGGGGCACGAGCCCCTCTCCTTGGGCAGACGTGGAGGTGGGGAGCTCACCATACCTGGCAAGTTGAATTGCTTCTGCTGGCGCGGGCACTGCGGGGAGGGGGGCAGGGGGGACGGGGGCGTTGCGCTGGGCGGCAGCGGTGGAGCCGGCGAAGAGGGGGTGGAAGAGGTGGTGGAGGAGGGGTTGCTGCTGGAGTCCGGCTGGTAGGGCACTGGGATGTGGTCCTGTGGGACATGGGGAAGGAGAGAAGAAGAGAGGAGCCGGTGAGAGCAGTGCCGGCCGGTGCCACCCCAAGGTGGTCCAGTGCAGAGGACCCCAGGTGAGGAGCAAGACAGGTCATCCCAGTCCCCAGTTTCCAGAAGCCCTAGAAAACCACCAGAGCCCCAGCCTGGCCTTCTCCAAAGCCATTTGTGTTCAGAGTTTGCACTGAGGCCACTTCACACCAGAAATGGGGCTCCTTTGCCAGCCCCTCCATGCTACCCACCCATGGCTGAGGGCTCCCCATTTAGGAGAGCCATGGCCACCAAGACCAGAGGTGGGGGCCGCACCACTGGGGCTGTCTTTAGAGATATCAAGGACCTGGCAGCTTTTGCTGACCTCCTTTGAGCCAAAAACTCAGTGCCTCGCTCGCAGCAGGGAGCTGAGCTGGGACAGATTTGAGAGGATCAGGCAAGACATCCCTTGCCCTTCGTTGACCCTTCCTAATCAAGGCAGGGACGGCAGCTTTGGGCGCGTCTCTCCAGGGCACACTGCCATGGGGGAGAAAGGACCACCTGGGAGCAGGAGAGAACCTGCCTGGTTATCTTAGATCTGAAAAGGAAAATTGAGGCCAGGATCTCCCACCTTGCTCACGACCTTGCCGCCCAACTTGGAGACATTTAACAGGGTCTGACCTTCAGCAGCACTGTGCACTCCCATCTCCAGACAGGTGAACCCATGGCAAGATCCCCCCAAGGTTAAAAAAAATCTACATGAGCCTCCCCCAGCAGCTACTTTTGTCCAAAGTGATTGATTTTTAAATGACATGGGCTTTCCAGGAAACCCACGTACATTTTATATAGACCATCCTGACACGCGTGACAACCTTGGCTAGGTAAATTATGTTTTAAACCAACGCTGAAGGCCACTAACAATAAGATTTCAATGGTCTGCACAGAGAATAAAGTATCTCTAAAGAAATGCTTCTAGATACATCCAAATAAGGGGCCCCTGTTGCATAAAGCACGTTTATAAAGGAAACTTTAACCAGAATGGGAGTGCTCAGGTCAAAGCCAAATATATATTATACACACACACACACACAGAGTGCATTATCATGGTTAGAATAAAGCTAGGAGAGGTGAAAGGACTACATGACAGAGGCAGAAGGAGAAACAGGGCTGATGCCCTTCACACCCAAAGCCTTTCTCAGTAAGCTGAGTCACTTCCCCGCTGCCCTCTAATAAAATGAAACAAATCACTGGAAGGACGGGCACTAAAAAGAAAAACGCATCCCTGTTTCTTTTGAACACCTGCAGCAGATCTCCAGCCTCAAAAAAGCCGTTTGCACCACCCCATAACGACAGCAACGGTGCAGATCATTACACTAAGGCTCTGCTAAGAGATTTCAGTTTAAAAACTGCATCCCAGAGAGCATCATCTGGTACCCAACCTTTGCTGAGGGCCAGAAGATGCTGAGGTCCGGGAGGAGCTGGGGGGTCCTGCCAGGCTCGGAGAAGTCAGGGTTTTGATGACCCGTTGCCCATCCCACCGAGGGTTTCCCTCCCTTCGAGCACTTCCAGCCTGCAAACGCCTCACCCTGCCCACCCCACCGTACCCGTGCGTGGCCTGCAGACCCGCGCTAGCTCCTGCCGCCCATGAGAAAGCGTCCACCAAAGGCAACAGGCTCTAAATTTCATCAAAAATAACCCCTTGCCGTGTCACCGCTCTTGCAAGCCAGGCGCACTCTCAGGTCTGGCTGGACCACATTTTGCCAGGGACACAATCAAATTCCGGTCTCGTTTTATTTGTAACAATAAATTAGTTATTTACAGAGGTCTCAGGTGGTAACAGAGACCTCAAACCACCCCCAGTTCAGCTTAGAACTGGAGATTGAGAGGCCACAATGGAACAGGACTGGTAGGACACAGCCTATTTTGAAAGTTCTGATCCCACTTGATTTTTAAAAGATATAACCTCGGCAGATGGCACCCACACTGGGAAACACAAGGGGCGAAGGGTTCACAGCTCGGTTCACCCTGCCTCAACGCCACGCTCACCCTCCCTCTGCTCCTCGAATTAGCGCTGCCCATGGGATTATTTTTCTTAATTTAAGCCCCCAAACAGGTTCCTAGGCAGCTCCTGCCCATGTGCTGCCATACACACCGGTTCCATAGTGGCGGATGTGCCCCAAGACCCACGGAGCATCGTGCAAGCCTTGGTCCTGGCAGATGGCTGAGGGGCTGGGAGATGCCCCATCCTGGAGACAACCCACCGGTCCCCTCCCGCCCCAGACACAAGGTCAGGGCATGGCCAGTTTTGCTCTTAAATCCCTTCTTTTGGAAAGTAGTCTCCGAGCTGTGCTCCCACCCGGCAAATGGGATCGATGCTCCCGAAGGACGTGCTCTGGGGAAAGCTGCTGCTCCTCATGCCAGGAGCATCCCCGCTGGGAGAGCAGAGGCAAACGGGGTGGCTCAACCAACCCAACTCAGGTGGCATTTGAAAATGCCACCGGCTTTGGCCCCCCACCGGGTCTGCAAGAGCAGCAGCCGCAGGTGAAGAACCAGCAAAAGCCACCGGTATTTCGGTGCCGTGGGGCCAGTCCCCTCTGGCCACAAAGGAGGCGTTCAGGGCTGGTAGAACAACTCACCTTGTTGAGTTTGTTGGTTTTGGGGAGCGTCTGGCTGACGTGCAGGTCGGAATACCTGGGGGGTTTCCGTAAAGGGTTGTTGATATCGCAGGGCACCGACTCTGTCCGGACTAACCTTGCTGGATTAAGAAGGGAGAGAGTGGGGAAAAGGGGATGGAGAGGAGGGGGAGAGAAACGGAGAGACATCAAAGCTTCGAAGGAGCACTCGGGGTCAACCCTGCGCTTGCGAACCTCTCTTGAATCGCTCGGCCAAAGCGATTCCCCGCAGCACCTCCAAACTGCTCGGCTCCTGCCCTGGGATGGCAACCAGCCTTCGGGCTCCCCCCTGCACCCGGGCTACAGCCAACAACCTCCCCCACGATGTGGGGGGCTTTAAGCCCCCCATGGTGGGATGCAAACTGCACCCCCTTTCCTCCCACTGCCGAGGGGCTGCAATTCGGGGAGGCTCAGCACGGCCACCCCGTGAGCTGGGAGGAGGGAGGGGGGCGGTCAGGCAGCATCAGGAGGAGGCACCATCCTCTTCCTCACCGCAGCTTTTTGGGGGGTGAGGGGAAGAAGCCGGCTCAGAGCATCCCGCTCGTGGCAGGGAGGATTTTTTTGGGGGGAAGACCCGCCTGCAGGACTCAGGAATGGGCCAGCTGCAAAGCAATGTATTTAAGAGGTTGGGTTTGGTTTTTTTTTTTTTGGGGGGGAGGCTGAGGCTCCCCCAAAGCCACGCCGCTCCTTGCTCCCGCGCTAAAACACGCAGCGGGCAGCTCCGGCTCTTGCAACATCGCCATAACCCCGATCTTTGGAGCCCACCTGCCCACACCCCCTCCCCAGCAGTGCGGGACGATGCCGCGTTCAAGATGCCTCTTGGTCAGGGTTTGCAGCTACTCAGAGCACGATGGATGGATGGATGGATGGATGGATGGATGGATGGATGGATGGTGGGGAGGGGTCTTCTGCCCCTTCCACCCAAATTTGCTGCAAGCAAGGGCGTGGGGGCCAGAGCGGAGGCTGCAAAATTGCCCCCCTCTCCGAGCCACAGCAGCCCCGCTCGCCTCCAACGGTGCCACCAGCGCGGTGCGTTTCCCCGCAATTAAACCCATGAGCATGTTTTGGGTGGTATTTAATAGACAACAACGGCCTTAAGAACTCAAAACTCAAGGCATGGGTCATTGGAAGCATTTCCCTTAGGCGGTCACGAGTCCTCTGGCCGTCGGGGAGCGCTCGGCCAAAATCTGGAAGAAAAGAGGTGGGAAGCGACGCCCGTCGTCCTGCTGCAAAGTTCTCCCTCCTGGGTGGGTTTTAGGACGGGCTCTCCCGGAGAAGGAGGAGGAGGAGAGCGGGATAAAGCAGCTCCGAAAGCACCACGAGCATCCACAGGGCCACGGCCGCGTCCCCGTGGCGGGGACCCCCATGCACCGCGGGAGCTTTCGGGTCCCACGCGTCCGCCCTAAGCTCTCGAGGGGTAGCAAAAGGCTCAAACCTGCGGCACTTACCCCGTGCGGTGGGGAATCTGAAAAGAAAAGGAGGCAGGGGAAGGGTGGGTGGAAGTGGTTTGCAATGCAAATCTGCCTCGCCCCGAACGGCTCGTCTCCCTACAAGCGGAAAAAACGGTGGGTAAAATTTTCACAGAGCGCCCAAGCGGTTCGGGAGCCTCCATCCCGCCGGCCGGTCCTCGGCGAGGGTCGGTCGGGCTCCCGAATCGCCCGGGGGGGCTTTTTGAAAGTTTTACCTGGCGGCAACATCCACGGAGGCGGAAGGGGGAAGAAAGGCCCTTACCTCCGCGGTGGATGATCAGCAGGTGACACGGAGGGGCCTCTTTGGTGCATTTGTTGTGGCACTTGAGCCTAGCAGGGAAGAGAGAAAAAGGTGTGAGTGGGGAGGGCGAAGGGGATGCGGAGCGGCACGGCACGGTACGGCCAGAGGGATGCAGCTCGGAGCGGGGAGCATCGCTGCGCGCTGGGGCCGCTTTTTCCACCCAGGAAGGTCACTTGATGTGATATTTGGGTTGTTGTGCACAGCCCCTGAGAGGTCCCATGGGACAACCTTCCCGCATCCCTGCGATCCTGCAGCTTGCGCTTGGGAAGACCCGAGATTCCCAAACCGGGGATAAGAAGCGCTGCAGGATGCACCTCCCGGAGCATCGGGGCTGTTGGCTGGGAGGATGCAGGAGCTGCACGCACTCGGCCAACCACAGCCATGGCGTGTCCCTCTGTCCCGATGGAGGGGTGGCAGGAACCCCCAAAATCCTTTCTCTGCTGGCTGCGGGGGACCAGGCGCCCACCAGGATGCCCAAAATTGTCATTTCTGCCAACCCCGGCTGAAATAAAAAGAGCAGAGACCCGCACGCAGGGGAAAGGCATTTCCCCCCCGACCATCCTCCAACGCTAACGCTGCTTTACGCTTAATTAAATTCAGGGGCAGTGGAGGGGAAGGAAGCGGCTGCCCTGGCCCCCTTTGGCTCCCGATGAATCTGTGCCATTGTGGCCTCCCTCCTAGCTTTAATACCAGGACATTTCACAAAAATAATGAGAGCATTTACGGCTACAACGTTGAGTATTCTGCAGAGCTTCGCCTGGTTTCACAGAGCCGGGGGCAGGAGTCTACGGAGGGCTTCACCCCCAGGTCATGCATATAGGCATAAGCCGCCCCCCAAAATCTTCCCCCTTCGTTCTTAATTAGGGATGGAAATGAGTCCCGGGCTCACGTTCTGCCACGACGGCCCCGGCAGAGCAGGGGAAACCCACGGGGGAAAAAAGGGAAAGAAGAGGAAAGGATTTAAAATAATAAAAAGAAAAGAAAAAAAAAAAAAACAAGGGGAAAGGGTGAAAAAAAAGAAAGAAAGAAAAAAAAAAAAGACGGCAGCTACAAGTCAATGAGCTGGGTAATGAAAATTCAGGAGCCGTGCGTGTTAGCTTTTATTACAAAGCCGTTCCTAGAGGGAAAGGCAGAGATTAATTCAGTAGACGAGGCTTGGGGGGGGGATTTGGGGTCTGTTTGTTTGTTTTACCTGCTTGTTCCCCTCCTGTTTCTTGGGGGAAGCAGCGCCGGGGCCGGGTGGCTACGGCAAAGCCGGTGGAACCTAAATACTTCGTTCATCCAAATTTTACTAACCAGGGAATTTATTTGCTCTTTTCTAAGCGACTACGGGCAGCAGGACGGGCCCAGAGCCAGAGCATCGCCGGGGCAGGTCCCAGCATCCCTCCTCCAGCACGGGGACCAGCCCCGGGCAGGCACAGCAAAGCCTCCAGTTTGCAACTGAGCATCGAATGCAACGGGAATCGCCACTTTAAAATAGGTATATTTGATAATACCACTGGCGGAAAACCGCCACCAGCTGCAGAGTAACCAGGCATTTCTTGTCCAGCTCGAAATCCCAATTTGCCAACTCATCAGCATTTAATCAACGACAACAGCGATCGTTATCACTTCATAGCTCCAGCTAACTCGGTTACCCGCAGACATCGGCGGATTCCCAGCACCCATCCATAGCAAAGGCAATCCTGTCTCCAGAAGCAGCTTTAACTAAGTGCCGATGGCTCCACGATAGTGTGTTAAGAGCCGGATTTAAAGCAGTATAAATGGCCCCAGCCTCTGCCTTGCTATCTTTTTTTCCAGTCCTGCCCAATTTTACGGCCCCTCTCCTTCGCATCACAGCTTAACTGCGGTTTGGGGTGGGTTGGCTCCTCGGTGCCACGACATTGCCGGGAAACAAGAGGGCCACAAGACTTCTGCTGCTGTGAAAACCAAATAAGAGGATAGAGCCAAACAAAAGGATACGGCCCGAGGCCATGGGGCAAAACCCATCGGATGCCCAGAGCTGCCCTGCACGCCGGTGATGCTCTCCTCCGAGTCACACTCAGCCCCCGGTCCGGAGCATCCATCCCCCCTCATCTCCTGCAGATAATTCTGCACATAACCCTATAACGTAACGTGGGCATCTAAAGCCAGGCCGAGGACGGCAGCGAGCGGGGAGGCTGTCAGGATCTGACTCAGAGCTCTGGCGCGAGCAGAGCCAAGGTCTGGCAGGCAGCATCCTCCCCAAGGACCCCACTGCTCCCATCCCCGGCACACAGACACAACCTCAGCCCCGTTTCGGGGTGTTCTTCACCCAATTTTGCATCTCATTAAAGCCTTCTGCAAGGGTGAGCTGGCGAGAGAGTGGTTGGTCTCCCTGAGCCCCTGCTTGGGTCCACCAGCAAAACCCCAGTTATCCCCCTCGCAACGTGGAAGAGACACACAAATAGCTCCGGCACCGCGCCGTACTTGCAGTTTTTGCATTTTAAGCCGAACAACATTCCTTTCCCGCAGACGGTGCAGGTCTGAGACATCCAGTACTTGGTGGAAAACCTGCCGAGAGAACCACAGAGAGCGTCCAGGGAGAGATGAAGCTGCACCACCCCATCCGTGCTCCTGCGGGAACATCTCCCGAGCCGCGCTTATCTACCGAGCCCTGATTTATCCTCTCCTTGCTGGCCTCAAACAGTGCTGCAGGCGTTGAGGTATCTTTCTAGGGATGGCCAAAGCACAAATCTCAGCCCCCTTTTGGTGACGCAGATGGGCACAGCCTGCTCCAAAGGGGGTCCAAGCCAGCCAGGATGGGCATTAGCCACCGGCTCGCTGCGGCTCCCCAGCTTTGCCCACCCCAGGCTGAGGGCAGAGCCCCCTCCAAACACCTCCCTGCCCTGGGGACCCACGTCTCCAGCCCGTCGGAGAAGCGTCTGCCCCATCGAACAGCCGCACGAGGCTATTTCCAGCGCTTTTCCTCCTTGAGGTAGATATGGAAGGGCAATAATCCGGAGAGGAGAAATTTGCTGAAGGTTGGCAAGGTCACGGATAATATATGGCTTTTATTGATAGCGACTCGAGCCTTATCTAAACCAAATCTGAACTGAAATGGAATTTAAATGGGCTTCTAGGGTAGTACAGCTCAGCATGGGAAACAGGGGGAACAGCCCCGGGCCCCCCGGGCCGGAGCGGAGATGGAAAGGGAGATGCTCATCCCCCAGCGTCGGGGGTCGGGGGGGATTCACCCAGCGCTGCAGCGGGGTCGGCGTACCTGTGTTTTATCGAGTTTCCTAGATCTCGACGGGGAATCTGCGGGGACCAGCGAGGCACTGACAGCGTATCTGCGGGGAGAGGAGAGAGAGGGAAAACCATCAGGTGGTAATACAGGCGAGAGCCGGGGTTCGGGCTTTCGGGGAGGGCAGCAAAGGGTACACACAAAAAAAATAGTGTTTGCCTGGTATTTCTCCTTAGAGATGTCCCACTGAGCTCCCTTTCCGAAAAGCAAGAGGCCTCTGGCTTTGTGCTTGGGTCTGCGGGGACACAGGGTCTGCTGTTCCCCCCAGTAACGGCCCCCACCACCCAGTTTGGTCCAGGGAGAGAGGATGGAGGTGATGCGCACTCCCCCAGTGGATGCTGCGCCCGCCTGCACGCAGAGCGGGATTGCAAAGCCGTCGGAGCCACGTCACGCCGTCCAAACACGAAAGGGAAAACGATGCCTAAACGGCAACCGCATCATTTATTAATAAGACATCACGTCTTGCGGTTGCGGCTGAACAAAGAGCCGAGTGCCAGCCGCTCGGAAGGCAATTTAACTCATGTTCAAACAGAAGAGCGAAGTAAAAAGCAGCCTGAGCGCTCTCCTTCGAAGAGAGAAGGAGGGAGAAAGGGTAACGGGACCTTGGCTGGGTAAGGAAAAAGAGATAAGTTCATTAGCACCGGCTGGAAGTAATTAGCAGCACGGCCGTGCCGCTGCCGTGCTTGGACTCCACATCCCCCTTCAGCCTCGCCAAGGGCAGGGACCCTCCACCTCCTCCTTCTCCTCCCCCTGCCGCAGCCACGGGAAAGGTCCTGCCCATGGGATGCTCAGCCCCGGGGAGGGGATGCGACGGGGATTCAAAGGTCGGATTGTCAATAAGGGATTCGAGAGGTTTCCCGGGCACAAGCAACCAGCCCCGGCACGCTGCGAGCACAGCCCCGGCGCGGAGCCGAGCGGCGGACCCCAGCTGCGAGCCCGGCCGTTTGCTCGATATGCCAGCAAATCCCTCGCTAAATACGCTTCCGATATTATCCCGGCGAGCGGGGAGAACCGCTGTTTGCTTTAATATCCCATTTTAATATAGCGGGCGGCGGGGTGTTTTAATTGCGCGCTCTTTCTGAAGGTTACATTTACATGCTGCTTCCCGCGCAAGGCGCTCTTAAAAGTCTTGGGAGCATCCGAAAACGCATCCATCTCCAGTACCTCCTGCCAGCAGCTGCTCCGGCGCCTTCTCTTAACTCCACCGCCACAGTCCCCATCGCCCTTCAGGCAGAGCCGGCAATTAAGATGTTGAAAGACTGGAAAGTCGATTAAGATAATCGCTGCCCCCAGCCCCGGGTTGGCTGTTTTACACCAGCAGCGTGCCAATATTTCGGACCCACGGTTCTCCCCAGCCCTCGAGACAACCCACCCCCGGTGGCTCCTGGACCAGCATCCCTCCCGTCACCCCAATATCTGCAGCCTCAAGCCCCAGAGAAGATGCTCTAAAGAGCGGGACCACTCCATGCACAAGCGCTATTCCTCCCTAAAGCATCATTTTCTCATCAGTAAATCGCATTATACAAATAAATTCCCCCCCCACCCAACAACACCGGTCTTTGACGAACTAAAAACCCAGGTAAGAACAGCTCCTCTCCCCGAATTAAATTACAACCTCCGCTTTATCAGCCACAATTTATTTCCACTAACTTTCAGCTGGCCTCAATTAAATCCCGCCATCCCGGGGAGGGGGAGAGGGGACGGAGGCAAAGACGGCTGAGCCTTTTAATTACTTTCTAAATGCGCTGCCTGCAAAAATGTATTAAAGTGTATCGGGGATTTTAACCTCCTGACAAAAATGAGACCTACGTGATTCACGGCTAATTACGTTCATTAGAAGGAGCGCTACATGAAGGATCGCGGCGTTCAACAATAGACCTGCTGTTTGCAGGAGGGAAAAACAAGCGAAGCGGGGCAGGAGGGGAGGGGAAGGCGCCCGCTGCCGTGGGGAGCAGCCCCAGGGTTTTTTTTTTAGGGGGGGCTTTGAAGTTAATTAGTGATTCTCCCCTTTAACCTGTGCATCGGAGATGCTCTCCCGGAGGAAAAGCTCCTTCTCCCCACGCGATGTCAAATGGGAGTGATGCCCCAAGGGAAAGCGGAGATGCCGCAGCCTTCCCCTGGCGCAGGATGAATATTCTCATCCAAAAAAAAAAAAAAACAAAACCACCCAAATTGCCACAATTAAAGGTAATCAGAAGCCTTGCTGGCTCCCAGCCAGGGTGCTCAGCACCTTCCAGGATGCATCTCAGAACAATTAGTCTGTATGCAGCCATCGAATTTCCCAACACACCACTTCTCTCTACAATGGCAATGTCGGCTATAGTCCAGCAAAACACTTAAGCACATACTTGAACTTTAACTATGGTCTCAGAACATCAGAAGGGACAACATTCACGTGCTGAAGTGTGAACAACACTGAAAATCTCAGCCTCAAAGATGTGGAAACACTCATGTGAGTGTCTGGGTGAATGTGTTTCACATGCATCTAATCGAGAGAGCTGCCCAGTTACACTGGAGCTGTCCCAGGGCTCATTTCCCAGGAGGGTGGAGGACGTAAACATTTTCTTCCACATTTCTTAGGATAGCAGGCTCACATCAAGGAAGCATTGGAAATAATTCCCATTGCATCCATCCTCTTAGATGGGGTTCATCCCTACACAGCTTTCTTCCTTCCACTGGCACAAGCTGCAACACAAACAGTTATCTCAAGCTCTGCAAAGCAAGAGAGCACCATGGCACCACCTGTGGTACCAGCACTCTGTTGGCCACCAGGGCACCACACACACCATGGAGGCAGGGCTGGGCTCCGTCTGGATGTGTTTGTAGCCGCCTGCATACAAGGCATGGGGAGCAAGGACACAAACCAGCTGTGGAGTGGCAGAGGGCTGTAGGAAGGTTGGTCATGCAGATCAGCTATACTTGGATTGAGTCTTCAAAAATTGCTGCTCCCCACCGTACACTGAAGATGTTCCGGCATCACACATGGTCACAGCTCCTGCTCAGTTCCTCTCATTGTCACTCTCCAGCCCTAAACCACTAAGGCCGTTTGCCTTGTGGCCACTTGAGCCCATGAGAGGCACATGGCAGGGCAGGGAGCACAGTAATCTCCCATGCTTTCCTAATTGCTCGATGTCTGGGAGGCACACACATACGCTCATTTGGAAAGTGATGCCAAAAAGGCGGATGTTTCCCCTTCGCTCCCCAGCCGGCAGGCGGGATACCCGGGCATCTCCTGCATGGAGGAAAACAGCCAGAGCTCCCCTGTTTTGGGGATTTGGGGGTTTCCAGCATCCCTGGGGGCAGATCAGGAGGGCAATGATGCCCTCGGCAACCGCCAACACCCTCCCCGAATACCCCAGGAGCATCAGGGGTTGGAGCATCCTGGGAATACCCCAGGAGCATCATGGCTGGGGCTGGCAGCCGTGCCAAACCGCAGCGATGGGGACCATGTTTTGGTACAATATCACCCATCTCCATCTCCTGGCACCTTTCTGGATGCCCAGGGAATTGGTGTGAACGTGTTATCCATCACGGCGACAGCCCCATAAACAAACCCTCCTCCTCCTACTAACAGCAACCAGCCCCAGGCGATGTTCGCATTATGAATGGGAGGGATAAAAATCGATGGAAGTCAACTTGGAAAGCGTCCCGGGATGAATCACCGCAAAGCCGAGGAAGGGGCAGGACACTTCGCACCCGTCTGTCGATGTCCTACAGACCCGCGTCTACCCTGGGCAGCCACCAAAACACTCCTAGCGCCAGCCCTGGGATGGTTGAGTCCCCCAGAGAGATTATGGGGAGACTCCAGGGCTCAGCCTCCTCCCGAAACAGTTCAACGATCACCTGGAAGACAACCACGACAGGTCCGGAGTCAGGTGTATCTCTACCACCCCATCCCCAGGCAGAAATCGCAGCCTGGGGGCCGTATCGTGATAGGGACGGGGGATGCTGGGCAGAGGTTACTGCCCACGTGGTCCCAACTGGGGAGCCAAGTGCTCCGCAGCGAAAGGTGCACCCAAGGGCACCAAGTCCCTCCACGAGACACCTCGCTCCTCACTCTGGCTGGTTTTAGGACCGACACAAGATGGGAGAGAACCCCAAATCGCTCAGAGCTGCAGCAGCAAAAGAAGCTGCAGCAACGCCCGGAGCAGCAGCAGCAGCAGCAGCATCACCACCACCACCGGCAGCTTTCCCTCCCCAGGGTAGAAAATCCACGCAGGATTCAAGCTAAAAAAGGGAGTCCACCTGCCCTCTCCCGTTAGCGTACGCGGCGAATATTGCGCACGCGATCCCAGCCCGGTCCCAACCCAGCAACAACCCCACGGTGTCCCTGCGGCGGGAGGGGGGGGAGGATGGGGAGGAAGGACGATCCGGCCGAGGGGATCATCCCCGGCAGCCGAACAAGGCAGAGCTATTCTCAGCGCATCCCTCTAGTAAGAAAACAGAGTCAACTTCATAATCCCGGCAGTTCCTCTTTGCGGCGTGACAATCCTATTTATACAGCTGAAATGTCATGTTCAGTCGCTTCGCTGGTTTAAATACTCACATTGTGATTTTTTTATTTTTTTTTTTTCCTCCCCAATTCGCAGCCTTGCAGGGTCAATTAGGCTTTCCCAGACAAAGCTGTATTCTTCGGCTCTTGCACAGCGCTGCCGGGGTAGGAAACCCTCAGTGCCTCGCCGCTGGCCTGATGGCAAGGCTGCCAGATGTGGCCAGTTGTGGGCTACGGGGAGCTCCCAGTCGGACTGCCGACACGGCTGCGGAGTGCTCGTACCGTGGCTTGTACCGGCAGCAGGGCAGGTTCAGGGAGGAGAAAACCGCCGATGGTCACAAAGAAGTGATGTCCTGCTTGGGAAGTCCCTTCCTGAAGGCGGTTTGGGCCAGGACAGCGTTAAGAAGCGTGTTCCCATAAAACCACCCCCCAGCATTGGGGACAGGACACCTGCAGAGAGGGTTTGAGTGGCACTGGCTGCTCACACACGTGCCCCATGGCACCCTTACCATCGGCATCACACTCTCAGGTCCTGCCTGGTCCTTAAAAGCTGGATTTAGGGCTCCTGGATTCCCAGCGCAGGGCTTGATCCACTGGACATTATCTTGGATCCCTCTCCACCAACCACACGTACCCAACGCCAACCCTTCAGAGGGCTCTTTCGCAGATGCTCAGGGGCTGAGCAAAGAGCTCTGGTGACATCTCAGGATTTGCCGCTTGCTTGGCCATCACTGGTTGACCACCCAAGCCCCAGGTGGGCATAGTCAAGCTGCTTCCCAGGGCAGAAGGTCAGTGCCATAAACTGCAAAGTCCTTGGTCACAAAGCCAAGAGGCAGAGCCAGGATTGGGATGAGAAATGACTCACCAGGGACACGGCCAGAACAGCACCAGAGGCAACTGTGGATGCAACGAAGCTGATGTACAGGACTGGGCTGATGCATCTAGCTGAGACCCAAGGAGAGGGGAGGTGGACATCACTGGAGACCACGTTAAACCAGCTATGATCGGTTCTCCGGGCTTTGAGGGGTCACTGCTCATAACTTCAAGTAGCAGGAGACGCTCCGTGGCTCTTGGCTTGCTCCCAGGCCACAGAAAGAGCCTCTCTGCTGTGTGCTGTGGGACGGTGCAACATCCCTGCACAAAGAGTCCTCACACACAGCTTCAGTTTGTGGGCCACTGGGGAAAAACAATGGGTTTTTCTCTCCTGGTACACACAAGGTCTCGGGTTGGGTTGCATTGGCTGCTCCTTTCCTTCTGCAGGGTTGGACACCACTTGGAGGAAGGGCAGCGGTGAGGACATTCATAGAATCATAGAATGGTTTGGGTTGGAAGGGATTTTAAAGACTATCTACTTCCAACTATCTACTTCCTGGGCAGGGCCACCTCCCACCAGCCCAGGTTGCTCCAGGCCCCGTCCAACCTGGCCTTGAACACCTCCAGGGATGGGGCAGCCACAGCTTCTCGGGGGAACCTGCCCCAGGGGCTCACCGCCCTCACCGTCAACAATTTCTTCCTCATATCTCATCTAAATCTCCCTTTGTCCAGTTTGAAGCCATTCCCCCTCATCCTATCACTCCATGCCCTTGTAAAAAGTCCCTCCCCAGCTCTCCTGGAGCCCCTTTAGGCACTGGAAGGCGGCAATAAGATCTCCCTGGAGCCTTCTCTTCTCCAGGCTGAACAGCCCCAACTCTCTCAGCCTCTCCTCATAGGAGAGGTGCTCCAGCCCTCACAGCATCTTCATGGCCCATTCCCCACACAGCCACGTGCCCGGGTGCTCACTTTTCCATCCCAGCACAGCAAAGTCACACACAGCCTTTTTTTTTTTTTTTTGTCCTTCTCTTCCACCGCCTTTTTGTTTTAAATAGTTCAGGATGGAAACAACTTTGTTGGCCCATCCTGGAGAACATCAAGCGGGTGACCTGATCTGGATGCACGGGGTGACAGGGCTCTGGCTGGCCTTGCAGCAGGGAGAGGACAGGCGGAGGGCACAGCCCGGGAGCAATGCCAGCCGCCTCCAGGACATCCAGATAACGGAGATGCAAACAGGACCTACCAGACGTGAGCCTTTACAATAAAAAGGAGAAGATCCAACCTGATTTCTGAGTGCTTGTAGCCAAATCAGGGGGGCTTGAGTCCTAAATCCTATTTCATAGTAACAACACGGCTCTGGTGGTCGCTTGTTCACCAGGAGTGACCAGATGCACCAAGAGAAGGTCCTGGATGGAGCCGGACAAACCATCTTCTGTCCCTCAGCCATAGGGCTGGGCTATTTCAGGGCCAAGCTACAGTTCAAAGTCTTTACTTCCCCCCTTCTGCTTCCCCTCCCTTCTGCTAAGGAAAAATTGCAATTCAAAACCAAAATTCCTGCAGATCCTGACCCTGTGTGAAGGGGACTTTGCCCCTCCAGCAAGATTTGTGCTGCAGGAGAAAAGAGTTTCCTTCCGCAGCTCGCTGCCAGCCCGTGCGCTCTCGCTCTGCGTCTGCGAAAATCTATACCCATCAGGGCAAATCGGCTGTTAAAAATAAGAGAGAAGCATCCAGACACGCATCCGATGGGGACCAGAGATGATTCAGATGGGAGCACGCTCCTGCCACAAGTAGCGAGACGCGCTGGCTGTTGAAAAGAGATCATCGAGAGACAGCCGGGGTCTCGCCCAGGGCTCGCCAAGCTCCTCTCCCGCATCTCAATCCGACGACAACAACATTTTTTGGTTTCAGTGCTCAGGGAAGTAATTCCACATCAATCCAGAGCATACCGGGCGCTGCCGTGCTGATCCCACAAGAGAAAAAGGGGGAAGAGGCGTTTTCCTTTTTAAAAGCTCGACGCACCCATGGTCATAGGGATGGGATATTGCGGAGAACTCGGCTGCCAAACGGCATCTGTGCCTCAAGGATGGGGATGGGGACAGGGAGGTCCTCGGGATGTGGGGTGGGCATGCCGCACTGGCTCACTGAGCCCCATGGAGCTCATCCAGCAGCACATGAGAAACCCATCGCCCGTCAAAAGGCGACCAGAAATAGTGGCACCCCAGGAGACGGGGTGAGGTGCGATGCCCCCAAACCACGACCAACACTTCTCATAGGACCCACAAGTCCTGGGACTTTAGACCGACGAGAACAGCAGCAAGATGTGAGGAGGGGACCCAAGGACACGCAAAGCACCATCAGAGCGGGGGAAGCCACCCGGGCCCCATAACAGGAACGCTGGACGTGGGGAAAGCTGCAGAGATACCTCCTCCTCCCCACAAATAAACGTGCCTCTGCACCGCTTGGCATAACTCATCTTCTCCCCGCAAGGTAACGAACCCCGGTGTCAAGCTCCGTTAAACCCCATCTCTCTCCCCGTAGGGCCACGCTCAGCACCCGGCTGCCACGTGTAGGATGCGGCCGCTATTCCCGCAGGATGGCAAACCGGCAACCCAAGGTGGAAGCAGACAGAAACCCGGGATGCAGCTCGAGGACAAAGCCACCGGTACAGAAACGATGCAGAGACGCAAGAGAGCTAGAAAAACTGCAGTCGAGTGGGACTTTTTTCCCTTTGCATCAAATTTTTCCCCCCAGGTCACCAGGAGTGAGGGTCGCGGAGTGCACGGATGCTGATCCTGGAAGGACCAAATGGTTTTACTGATGCTAAAACCTCTCAACATGGATCAACCGGTTGGCGCAACCAAGCCCCTCTTCTCCACGGCTCACGCCTAGCCCAGAAAACAAACCTTCACAGCAGCCCAGAAAGTTGGAGGACCGAGGGAAAATGGGAAGAGACACCTCCTCAGCAGCGTTAGTCACTTGCTAGCCCATCACTTCTCATTGCATCACGTTCCCGCGATGCCACATTACATCAGGTTATCACACCACGGGATGTAATCCAACGCGGATGCGTGAGGAAACCTAATGCAACAAGACACGGCGGGGGTTTGTCGGGAACGGGGTTTTATTTCTTGCTTTCTGGGCTGCTAGTCCCCATCGTTCCAGGCTGCAAGTTGAACTCAGCCGATGCCGCGGAGGGGGAAAAAAAAAAATCACAATGCAAAAATACCCCTTGCTCCTGGCAAATCCGCTGGCTGTGCCAGCACGAGGCAGGTAGTTGGACATGTCTAGAAATAACATCGCCTGCCCCGTCCCGCTGTCCCCAAAGCCAAAGCAAGGGGAGCAAAAGGATGCCTGAAATGGCTCCGTGATTCTTCAGCCATCCTAAACAGCAGCTGACCGGCTTTTACAAAAATAAAGAAAGAAAGAAATCGTGAGGGGTTTTTTGTGTTGCAGATGGCTGGGAGAGGCATGGCTGCGGGGATGCGAGCAGGGCGAAGGGTTTGCCCCGTCACACCGGCACCCAGCGCCTACAAACTGGTACTCGGGGCAACCGGTGAAGCCGGTAAGAAGTACGGCGAGGAGGAAAACCTGCCGGTGCTGGTGGGGCTGGATGGGCTGGGAGGGGTGTTGCCTCCAACCCCCCTGCTACAGCCAAGAGCCGAGCAGTAAGAACGGCTGGAAGAACCCCAAACGAGCCAGGAAGACCACATTTTTGAGAAAACAAACAAGGCAAAATGTCTGGGGAGGGGAAGGTGGCCAGAAACCAGCCTGGATATGGTGTCGGAAGAAGTTTTTAGCAGAGCAACAAGAGGCAAGGGGAGCTCACCCTCCCCACGACAGCTCTTGGCATGCAAATCCCTCCCAGCAGCTGACACGCGTTTTCTGGGAGGGTTTTGTTTAGGCTGAGAGTCACGCCTCGCTTGTAAAAACTTCAATTCCTGCAGAATTAATCAGGGCACCCAGTCCGAGACTGGGAAATAAGGGTCAGGCTGCTTCTCCCCGGCCGGCAGCAACGCCCCGGGTGAGCTCGTCAGCCCGAACCCATCGAGTCCCATCACCAGCACCTCCTGGAAGAGGGCAAATGACCCCAGGCAGCCCCGCGGGCAGGATATGGCCCCGCTGCTGGGACCAGGCGCCGTGGGGTTTGCACCAGACCTGTCTGCATCGGGGACGGCTTCGCCCGAGACTCCACGTGGGCTGGAAACCCGGCAGGGAGGAGAGGTCCGAAAAGCAGCCGAGGTGGACCCACGGCTGGATTTACAACGGAGCCCTTGGAAATGTCATTCTCAAGTGACAGCCAGCCGGCGTCACCCACCCCCAAATGATGGCAGCCGCCCTCCTGCACTCACGTTATCGCGACAGGGGACCATATACGTTTGCATCAACCACTGCGATGGTGGTTTTGTATAGATACAGCCATATAAAATCAAGTTTCCAGGCTTATATTTGCCCAGAAGCGCCCCTGTAACACCACGCAACACTCAACCGACGTCCTCCGCACCGTCGACGCGCAGGCGGACACCCCGCGTTTCCCGCCGTCGCATCCCCCGCTTGGCATCAACCATGGCCCACCCCATGAAAAGGGGACGCCGGGGGGTCAGGGGGACCACTGGGACTTACTTGCTGAGAAGGTGGCTTCGGTGTGGACAGGAGGGGTGGAGGGGAGGAAAGGCGGGTACCCCACGAAGAAGGAGCGGAGGGAGCGCTCGGAGAGGAGCGGGGAGCGCTGCGCGGGGATGTTCTCGCAGCTTCCCACGCTGTTGTGGATCTTGAGGTTCAGGGGTTTGTTCTTCTTCTTTTCTCTGGAAAGAAAAGAGAGTAGAAGAAAAAAAAAAAAAAAAAAAAAAAGAGAGAGAGAAAAGTGAAGGGCAAGAAACCAGGGGGGTGTTTGCTCACAGGTGGGGAGGAGGGAGCGATGCACCGGGCGGTACCCGTAGGATGGCGGCTCACGCGGGGAGATGCTGTGCTGCCCTGTGAGCTGGTGTGATAATTAGACCCGCATCCCTACAAGAACCCTCAATTCCTCCCCATCATCCCAAGAAAAAAAAAAAAAAAAAAAAAGACTTGCAGTTTTCATTAAGGAACCCATTGCACTCGAGAGCTCTTCCTCCTACAAAACCTGGCTGAAAAGGGTCAGTTGGTCCCAAAGCCCCGTCACCTTGCTGGCTTTATCGCAACCCCAAAATCACCGACTGCCCCCCCAGCCCTGCGCGGGGCAGCATCGCCCCTCAGTGCCCCAACACGAGAGATGTCCAACACGAACCCGCCTGTGTGCACCTCGCTGATGGTTAAAAGCCGTACTCGAGGCAACGTTCCAAGTCCTTGAACGTCTTTGCGCAAGACCCCAGGTCACTGCCTTGTCCCGTTTGGGCCAGGAGGGATGGATGTGCTGCTCTGCTCGTCACGGCTCCTCTTCACACCAGCTCAGAGGCTGCCAGCACGGGGTAAGGTTTGCTCTCCGCCGTCACACAGAGCTCATCCGCATCCCAAAATATCCACCGTCACTACCAGCCTGGCTTCAAACGGGGGAAACTGAGGCATGGAGCGGGGGAGGGAGCAGATTCAAACTGCTTCCTGCAGCACCTAGAATGGACTTTGGCACTCACAGTGCTGCGGAGCTCGAGAGATGCTGCGGAGCTTGAGAGATGCTGCTCTCCGTGCATCGTGGCAGGGCTGGTCCCAGCTCCTTCCTACTGGGGGAGCGAAGCACCAGCAGCCCCATCCCTGCCACTCTGCAGCACTCAGCATCCGCTCCAATTTTAATGTCGTTTAATGTCACCTACATCCATTTTAGGGCCCGAGCAGGGGAACTGAGTACAGCCGAGGGGTGGACTGCAGCGGAGCACGGCACCCAAAGGTGCGGCCCCAACAGAAACCCGAGGAAGAGCTCGCCAAGGCGCAGGACAACCCTAAGCACTGGGAAACATTCAGCAGAAACCAAATGCTGCAGAGCAGGGGGGTACGAGACGCCCACCTCTCCCTTAGCAGCCCATTTTTCCGCCCGCCTTGCGCTGCGATGAGGACCGGCCATCACTCCGGTGGCTCAGATGGGCCCCAAGCCGCAGGCGAACCTGAAAGATTCGCAACGCGGACCGACACCGACAGCTCGCAGCGGGGTGGGCTGCAGGTTTCTGGCGCTGCAAAGCCTTTCTGGCTCGGCGGCTCCCACCTGGGCCACCTCGCTATTGTGCGAGGTGGAGAGAAGCATCCTCTGCCCTGCCCCCAAAGCAGCCTCCGGGAAAGGCAGCTCAGCCCTTTGGGAGATGTGGAGGGTTTGGGGCAGAGAAGCCGGTCCGAGCACAGGGCGGGCGGTGTGGTGGCGGTCACGGAGGACACTCCTGCCCTCCCAGCAGCGCAGCTCACGAACGGCTGGAGATGGTTTTCTCGCAGGTGACACAGTCGGCATCAGTGCACAACTGCATTCTAGCCTTTAATTCCACCCCCTGCCTTCAGTTCCTGCTTATATTGTTCGAATCAGGCAAAAAAAAACCCAAAAACAAACCAACAACAAACCCGAGGCAGGAGTAGAGAGGGAGTTGAACAAATCACAGCACCTCCCCAAACTGGCGGCTCAGCCCAACTGCAGCGGAAAACCATGAACCCCAAACCCAAAGCAGAGCTGAGCGATGCCGTGAGCAGTGGAAAGGAGGAAAGTATAACCCCAGGCACTGCTCGCTCTCAAAACTTTGTGTCCAGCAGCTGCTTTCCTGCAAACACCTACACGCTTATTCGCAGGCACCGGGTCCTGCCCCGCGGCCGTCGCTCCAGGAACATCCACCGGAGATGTGCCGGAGCTCAGACACCCGCTCCTGCCCGCAGGAGAGCCATGTCCCCAGGGCCACGCATCTCCCACCACCGCGGGTCCCAGCAGCGCCCAGGGACATCTGGCCGCCCCGGTCAATAGGAAATGACGGCGCTGCGCTCACCAGCCCGCTCAAGCAGAAGGAAAATTAACCCCCCCTCTAATAAGCTAATTGTTTCCTCGCACAGGAAAAGCTGCTGCTGCCTTTGGGGGTGGCTGTAATGACTTCTTTGCTGGGTCAAGGATGGGGGGCGGATGGTTGCCTCCAGCCAGGTCCTACAGAACAACCCTCCTGGCTTGGAGCCCACGGGGGTCCAACGCACCGACAGCCCCACGGCCGGTGTTTGCCACGCTGTGCCTTGCCGAGGGCATCCAAGCTGCCCCTGACCTTAAACCTTCAGTCCTTAAAGCATATCTGCAAAGCACCGAGGCGAGGAGGAGCCCCGGTGGCCCCCAGAGCCAGTCCGACCCCACCATCGATCCCGACCCAGCGGCACAACGCCGGCGGCTCCACCGAAGCCCCCGGCACGGCCCCGGCTCCCCGCGAGCTCGGCCCCGGCACTCGGCCCAAAGCGCTTCCTGCAACGCAGTGATTAGCCACTAATCGCATTTTTTTTTCCACCCATAAATCAGTTCCAGACCAAATATTTACTGCGAGCATCATTTCCTCGCCAAGCAGGGCCGGTGACAGCTCTCATTATTAGGAAAGATGAGTGATTTTGGACAGAGAGATATTTTCCTCTCTCCTTCGTTTATTCCAAAAACAAAACAACAACAACAAAAAAATTAATAAATACACACAAACACCATGATCCAACTGGGTGACCGGTGAGGGTTGGTCACCTGTCTCGCCATAGCCTTGACCCCTTTTCCCTATCCCAAAGGAGAAGGAGCAGGGACCGAAGCCTGGAGAGGAGCGGGATGCTGCAGCAGGAGCATCCTCAGCCATAGCGAGTCCCCACCTCCCAGTGGGGAACATCTCCTCGCCCATCCGGGCCATCCTCCCCAAGGGCTTTGCACAGGGCTCCGAGGGAGGTATTTTGGGGAACGCTATTTCATAGAACCATTTAGGTTGGAGAAGACCCTTAAAATCATTGAGTCCAACCATACGGACCACCCCGTGGTCATCTCAGCCCATGGATGGAGCAGCAGGATACACCGCAGCCCCCTCCCCAAAACCTACCGAGAGGACGCTCGGTAAAACTCAGAGGACCTGGGAGGGGACGGGTTTTGGCCGGTGACTGCGCCGACCCGGCACAGGATGCGACCACCAACCTTTGGGAGAGACGCACCGGGGGCTGCACCAACCCAGCCCCACTGCAAAAACCTTCTCCTCCTCCGCAGCATTAAACCGCTTCTTAATTAGGCTTTTTTTTTTTTTTTTTTCCTCTGTGAAACATGGAGAAATCAAGCTAAGGTTTACTGTGACAGTTTGGAGTCAGGAGGAGTGCTATCGTCCTGGGACACACAACGAAGCTTTTGGCCCATGTACTCCCGGGAGGGGTTTCGCCCATCTCCGGCCCAACATTTCCATTTTCCCCTCATTTCCCCAAGCCACCATTGCAGGAAGAGAGGGGAAAAAAGCACGTGCTGGAAACGCATTGTGATCCTCCCAGCCTAAACCCCCCAGCACAGCCCAGACCCCACACCCCCTCCTCTGTGCCAGGCTCCGATGGGCATCACCCCCTCAACCGGCATCACCCCCCACCCTCGGAAAAACATCAGCTTAATTCCATTTTCCATAGGGATAAAGCCCCCAGACAGCAGCAGACCCCCCCACACCCTCCACACCCACCCCATCCTCCTGGATGGGGGCCAGGCTGGAGATCTCAGCCAAAAAAAAAGCCCCGGCCGCATTGGAAGGAAGCGGTGAAGTCCAGTGCGTGACACAAGCTGGACTCGCTTCGATGCTCGGGAAGGGTTGCACCGCACTAATCCCCCCCCCACACACACACACCCCATTAAGCACCATTTCAGACCATTCCAGAAGCTGGCGACATCTCAGCTGCTTGGCCGGGGAGTGTTGGTGGGGGGGGAAGGTTGCAAGAAGGCGAGCGCTCCCCCTAAAACGTCCCGGTGATAATAGAGAAACGCTGATGGGGAAGCAAACGCGGCGGAAGGGAAAACGCAGCACAGCTCTGCTGCAGAAGGGGTTATTTAGATGGTGGCGATACCTCCCCGGGCCCCGGGAAGGACCATTTTTCTCCAGTCACAGCTGGACAACCGCCGAAATGAGACTCCTGCCCGCGCCGGGGGAGGCTGCGAAGCACCGGGCGAGGAGAAGGGGGAGCTAGTTATATACCAGCTATTTCATTTTTTTATTTTTCATTTTGGCTTTAAAGGGTTTGCAGGGAGGAAAGAGGACGATGTGCAGCGCTTGAAGCCCTCCCGAAAGCTGGGAGACAGCCTGGGGTGACTACGCCAAGCCCCCACCGCCCCCGGGGATGGTGGGAAAAGTGCCACCGCAGGGATGAGGAGGGCTCCTTTCCCGCCAGATTCAGAGCAGATCCCCACATCTGAACATCCCAACTGGTTGGGTTTGGGGATTTTTTTTGCCGCTCCAGGAGCCTCACGTCCCCTCTCCGCGCTCATCCCAGCCCCGTCCCCGTTGGGGACGGGGGTCCATGAGCACCGAGCATCCCTGGCTGCAGGGTTGCCGGGTTCCCCGCCGGCAAAACGGGGCCGGACCCTGTCCCCACGTAGCCTTGGGCTCCCCAAACCCTTTCCAAGGCCACCAATTCTCAACCCTCGCCACGTTGTGAGCCCCACGGCTGCTCCCGGACCCACAGACCCTGCCCAGCATCCCCTGTCAGCCTCCTCCGCTCCGTCACCTCTCACCATCCCCTAACGCTCCGCACGGCCCCCCCAGAAAAATCATTTTTCATCCTTGCCTTCCCCGTGCATCTGTCGGGGTGGGGGGGACATCAGACACAGCACCCCCACCCCAAAAGCAGAGTTCGCAGGAGCATCAGGGGCTGATTTCTGCCACAGACTGAGATG